GCTTGGGACTCAATTCCCGCGCGTGCGCAGGTGACGACCCTCTCGCTTTAATCAATGTATTTTAACAGGTACTAGGTGAGTATAATGTGTCTTGGCAAACTATCTGAAGAATAAATTTTGACTTCGTTTGGTTAGTGGGGACAAAACGACTAAAGCAATTTAAGATCTACGGCCCACGTGCGTTAAACACGTGCGCATGTATACAGCTGTGAAAAACACATGAAGTCCCCCAGCTTTGTGAACCAATAAATTATGGTGACGTTCATAATGGTTTTTTGAACCGAAACAGTAATTGTTCACATTTAAGTCAAAGGATGCAGAATTTAAATCTCACACTGGACAGTGTACAGTTCTCGAGAAATACTGTCCAAAATAATCTTGAAAACGGATTTTGGAGACCTTACAGTGAAGTTCCCTCAAATGAATCATAAGATTGAAAATTATCTTCGATTTGGTGATGATTAGGCACTACAGTTTCCAGTACAGACTAGTTTCAGCGCTTCTAATTTTCAGGATTTATTTCAAAATCAAACGATTCTACCATTTCTCATATTGATCACACTATTCAATAGAAGGTGTTTTGCATATAATACAAAGTGGAGAAGTAACTTTAAAAGTACAAATGAAATAAGTCAATAGTTCTGGGAATAATGAGTATAAAGGCAGTCCCGTGTTAGGTTAATCTCGGAAGAGCCTCCGGTCCAACAGGAAATACCCAGCTCGTCAATCGGATCTGTAGTGTGCACTTTATATATTGCATATTGAAACAGGCGATCTTATTTGGTATGTACATTAAACTTGTATTCACGACAAAAAGCCAATCATGAAATGAATGTTACGACTAAATATTTATCCCAAGTAGTTAAATTGTACTACACAGTAGCTACACGACAAAATACACTATAGCATGTCATCAATTATATGTATTATTCGCAATTACGTCATTTTGAATCTATTTCAATTTCCAGAATTCTTCCTACGATCTCCTTCTCCCAAGTATCTCCTTCTCCCGAATATAAAAATAAATTTGTTTGTCAAAGTGTTTTTTAAAGGTCGATATAACTAAAATACAATCCAAAGCAAAAAACTCAAAATTTGTTGACAGTTCGCTGAAAAACTACATTACGACTTTCAACTAACCAATCTGTATGTGTGACATCTTACAGTCGGGGTGACAACTTAAGCTGGTGTTGCATACTTTAAGCAATGAACTCATTGTTTGTATTCCCACATGAATGATTTGTTTTAGTTCTTCAAAACATAATAGTAGGTAGGCTCATTTGAGCTGTTTAGTGAAACTATTATACGTTTTAATATATTATTATGTTATTTGGTTAACGTTAAGACTTTTCCACCGGTTAATCGAGGTTGTGGAACGTTTCAAAAACCAAAGGCAAACCACAGGGAGCCCAGGAACTATAATCAACTATCAACTGTAGTACGCAGTCTCTATGAGCGCGCGGGAGGGGGGGGGGGTATCGGCTGGTATCTAGTGTAAGAAATAGACAAGGGATGAAGGCTCTAGCCAGCTCACATTTTTTAAACTCGAAAAAACAGACGAAAAAAATAAAAAATAAAATCTAAAAAAATACCAGGTTGAAGAATATTAGTTGCTCCTTCGAATTTCGCCAAAGCCTTACCCACATTTTACCGATATCTGCAGAATAAATCAAGAAAACTACACAAATTGACTCCATTTAGGAATTCCTAACG